AATTTCAACTTCGCAAACACCGTATGTTTAATTAAGGATTATGTAATAAAAGTACACACAGAAAGACTACCCATTCGAGATATACCCACAGTCGAACGGGATGCATTTTTTTTTTATTAGTATGACACAACCTTTTTGTTACGTTTTGTTTTTCCGAACCGTAACATCGTCGGTCTTCTTCCCTCGGCTTTAACTAAGTAACCCTAGGAGGCTGAGGCTAGAACAGGTAGGCTGAAAACCACCACAGACGAACTACACCTCAATAGTACGCCTGCCGCCTGTGTTAGATGCGCACCGCTACACGATGGGTGGGCGGGGGACCCCAAACAATAAAGCGTGAACAAAAAAATAGAAATAAAGCAAAAATTACACGAAGAGAAAGAGCGAGGCCAAAAGAGAGTGAGCCAGACCCGACAGACTTCAGAAAGGAGGCGGAAGAGAGCTAGCTTACAGAAAAAGCACCCGCCTCGACGCTCTGAATCCCCGGAAGCTGTCACACAGGCACTGCAGCAAACATCATGGTCATGCCCATTCCCTGGTAGCACCCATGGTCCCCCCATACAGCAGCCGGATGCACGGGTAGAAGGGTGTGGCCTCTTCACTCTGTCAGCAAGAAAAAAACAATCACGGTTGTTGTTGTGGCGTTGTCGTGGGGACCCCACACCGGCGAATGGTGAGAGAAGAGAGAGGAAAGAACAACAAACAACATTCACTCTCGAGAACTACACATACAATCGAACTGCACTCTCGAGAAGAAAACCCACTCTCGTCCGTCTGGCCGTCCCTCTGACCCACCGGAAATCAGCGTCCGACCGCCCTACCTACCAATCATCACCACATGCTAAGCCGTCCTTCCACCGCATGACATGCGTGTACAGTAGTTCTCCACGATCGATCACGTGCTCGTAGATGCCGCTTGTCTCTGTACGTACGTAATGCTACATACATGTAGCTCGATTGCTGCTTTGTTTTTGCTACAGCAGTATGGACTGGACGCCGAACGACTTCCACGTACGACGGCAACGACCCAACTGGATGGGATACTTCCTGCCATGGCGAACCATAGTACAATGCGATGAAAACATCCGTTCGTGTGTCGTGCGGCGGCCACATGTGTCGACGACAGGTACACGTAGAACTCTCGGTTGTCGTTACCGCGCAGGAGGACCCCTCGGAGATCTTCCACATGGTGCTACAACGACAGCAGTACTACTGTACGTAGATGTCGTAGGAGAGTGGAGTTGTGCTGTCACGGCATCTGCCACGCACTCTCCTACCGGTGCTTGTGTCGATTGACCGCTGGATTTTTACGCAATATCCATCTTTCGCATTTATCATTTTGCACCGAACGACGCAGGACGGGTCGACCTTCATCATCATTGTTGTGTTGTTGTTGTTGTTGTCTTCACATTAAAAACCGTTCCGATCTCTCTCTACCCAGTACCTTCATATTGTCCGTCCGCTTGCTTGTGGATTATACCTGTTGGAAATTGTGGGAATCCCTACATTCCGGGAGAGCCATAGGTCGGCATCCGGCCTTTTCATTTTTTGTACAAGTGTGCACTTTTCTTCTTGTGAAGTTTTGACGTTGCGCTTGCCATCGTCGTTTAAGTATTTGTGTCTTGAAACCTTCTCAGCCGGCCTTCAAATTTCTTCTTGGTAAGTCTCCGTGGTAACTTCTCCGCGCATGAGTCATATCGGCTATGACCTGCGCATTGACTTTCACGATGGGTATTTTACCTCACTCTTTGTCTTGCATTGGTGCGTACTTGCGTTTTACGGAAGGATCGTTCCACGACGCAAACGTCGACGTCTCCCTTTTTTTTTTTTATCTTTCGCACTCCTTCCTTGCCGCGGTTTTCACACCGACTTCGAACTTCGAACGTGGGGTGCAATTTCCTCTCTTCGTACCTTCCTCGTCGGCCTTCTCCATCGTTATGTACATAACGTATACCTCGATTTTTCGGCTTTTCGATTCGATAGACAAGACAACGGACTGACATATCCCTTTCAATTCCGACGGGACCGCGCGCTCGTCGAGTGCCGAAATTCTTCACCACTTCCTTGCCTCTCCCAACACCGTCGCTTCTTCCCGCCCCTACAAATCATCTGCCTTTCTTCTTCTTTCGTTCCTCCCGGACACTCACCACCATCCGTCCTGGATGTTGGCCCTCAGCCGCATCGGGGGGCGGGGGGCCAATCCTTAACCCTAGTATATACTATGCTACGAGTACCCCAAATCTATCGAATAGCCCCTTTGCTCGTATGCATTGTCATGCTTTGGCAAAAACCAGTCATATCCTCTTCTTTACCATCATCTCCAAAACAAGAAAAAATCCTCCAAGACATTGTGACTGTCCGCGGCTCATTATGAAGGATATGTAGGTTGATCGGGAATAGGAAGGCGCAAACCGGAGATTCATCCACCACCCCCGACAAATCACGCTCTTACCAACTGAGGCAAGGGGGCTAGCTGATATGTGTAGGGGTGATAAAGGCAAGGAGAGAAGATATGAAACAACCTCCGGACATGGGGAGGTTGGTACCGGCGAAAGATGGTATGGTCCATTGAGGCTGACATGACGCGTGACCGAAAATAGTGTGGTGTGGTGCACGTAATGACAGGAACGAAGGATGAACAACGTTAAAAAATGTAGGTGGTATTGTGAGGTAATGAAAGACGAGCGTGAAGCGCAAGTGAGGTATCTGTCGCTTCGCCGTGGTTGTCCGTTGGACCCAGAACGCACGGTACGAGGGCAAGTCCAAGATGAAATACAGCGATGTGAGGATAAGCGAAGGCGTAATTCCCTCCGGTATGAAACGACGTCGGATGTTCATGGAACGGAAGAAATCGGAAAAAGTCCATCCGTACTTACCCGAGAGGCCCCCGTTGAAGAGATACGATATGAAAAACTGCCGGGACACATTGAAGGCAAAAAAAAAGTAAAAAGGACGGCGCGAGGATGAACATCATGACCCCCCGAAACGTACGTCGATTGACGAAAACAATAAATCCCGACCTAACATGGAGGCTGTTGTTCGGTATGACTGTTTCTCACCCGCGCACGGGAACAAGTTCTCATCAGCTTACCAACTTCTTCGCCGTCTTCATTTCTATCTCCCTTTTCACCGTCGTCGATTATCTGTAGCCGGTCGCCCCGGTGGTCTAGTTGGTAACCTCGAAACCTTCTAGAGGCCAGGTCAGGGGTTCGAATCCCGGCGTAAGCGAGCTTTCCTTGCAAAGTGAGTTTTTCTCTCGCTTCCGCTCCTGGCCTAGTGGATAGCGCTAGTTCGTGTGTACACAGAGGGAAGACAGCGCTGAACTCTTCTCGCGTCAAAAATCGAAGGCAAAGTACCGCAGGAGGGGAGGGTAGAGAGGGGCTCTTCTGTGAGACCACGGGTTGGAGTAAACATTAGTGCTGTGAGCGCTGATTTGAAGTGAAGACAAATATATATATAACTATATTATCTCGCTAGCAATTTGGCCCCCCCGCGCCCCCTGGGGGCGCGGGGGCAGTTCAGTACCCTAGTACGTTGTGTGGATGGTGGTGGAGATTTCAAGTTCACACTGCTGTGCCACTGTGGAGATTTCCAGTTTCACACGTTTGGCGAGATCAGACAGAGCAGCACCACAGGAAGGACACCCATCCATGCCGCAGACCGCTTGCGTGTGCGCAGTGTGCAAACATCTGGCGCGTTTCACGGGGTCCCTGAGACCTTCCTTTGTCAAAGTTTTAGTAGAGCACAGAAAACGACTGACTTGTCCGTCTTGCAATCCAAGAGCTGCGCAAGCAAGTGCGTACTACGTACGATAGATAGAGCGCACAATGTCTGTGCTCTCGTCAGGCCTATTCATCTATGTGTACAAGCAGAACAACAACATCGCCCAGAGGCAGCCCATGATATGTTATATACATGCGTTTCGATCGTTTAAGTCGCATTTCAAGGCAGGGAGCGCGTGCATATAATAGCCATACAATAACATGTAGTGCAACAAGTGAAATGGGTCTTTCACGCAAAAAACGAATCAATTTTTCGTTGCCTTGTCCGCCTCCGAACACTGATTCTGAGGTGGTGCTTCTGAAACCAACTTCACCGCCAGCAATAATCCTCTCGTGTGCTGCAGATAACGCTGTGCGTACTTGGGGGCCAACACACTTTGTTGAAGAGCTGGGCTCGAAAGCCTATTTCCCACAGCAGCATACTCGTCAAAGCCTTCGCAGGGTTCTCGTATTGAGTGAACATGTTAGATAACGTATACAATCGGGGAAGTTGGGTTAGGCTTAGGTTTAGGGGTAGGGAATAGGGTCTGCGTACCCCCCTCTCTGTTTTATTTCCTCGTCATACTTCACTTCTCGTGAAGGCCTTTTTCGTTGGATTCCGTACACACACTTGTTTTTGATGTTGTTGGATTTTGCCTTTTGTTTTGGTTCGGGAACAACTTGTCGGGAAACACGTTACGGGCAACAATCAATGCTGTTGTGCGTGGGTTGTACAAAAAGAAAAAAATGGCCCCGAACTTGGTGCGCAATATATGCCCTCCTCCTCGTTCTCATGACATGGAAGGATGGGTAAAACTGTCGCTCCGAAGACGTGGAAGAACTATTACAAGTACGATGCTTTTGGTGATGACAGGTTCTTCTGGGGGTACAGTAGGGTGTGCACATATCAACAAGGAATCTATATTGGCTTTGAATTCCTTCAACGCTTCTTCAATAGACTACGCAATATTATATATTTGCTTTGCCTGCCACCCTCCTCACGGGAAAGCATCAGAGTGGCGTGTTTTGGAGAGTTTGGGGCTCCGTTCGCTCCGTCTGCATTGTTAGCTGCTTTCCTTACTTTATCATTTTCTCTTATTTCTTTCCTCATTTCTTCGTATGCATAGTGCGCCACGAGTCCTCTTTCGTTTCCTCGCGCTCCGTGCCTGCTGTTTGTTGCTTTTTCATGTCCTCCCCCAAACACGACGGAACTCTCTGTCTGGCTTACAAGCACATGTCATGAGCAGCCGCTCTGGTCCGTACAAACGACGCTTCCCCCCCCCCCATGCTCCCCCTCTCGCCGCTGTCCTGCCCAGCGATTATTACTCCGTGGAGAATGGGCGTGGGGACGGTCCCGGGAAGGGTGCCGACAAGGGCAGCTGCACCTCCGCCGGGTCTACAGGGACGAAGAAGTCGGTGATAGAGGCCGGCGAGGTCGCGGGGGACTATTCTTTGGACTGGAAGGGTGAGAGAGGAACCGGATTCGATCTGAGAAGAAGGCTCACGCAGCCGTAGAGGTCTGCAGCACATTAACGCGTGTTCGCGAGTAAGGAGTACCACGACGATGATGGAGTCAACGCCCTTGGTTCGGGCGGCTAAATTCGTTCGTTGTTTTACATCGTTTCCCCTCCCCAACGCACACTCGCGCCATTTTCTAAGAATGATAACAGGCGCATCAGTCTTGCTGTAGCAGACTAACCTTCGTGCAGGGGGATAGTGAGCCGGACCGAAAGAACAGAGAGCAGGCTTGCTTTGTTGTAGTATGGCGATGAGCAGGTGGCTCGGCTGACAGGCGACAGATTGCTTGAACGTCATGGATGCCTCGAGTATACACTTCGAGCTAGAGGCGTGATTTACACGGCGTACGCAGTCGGTCAAAGTGGGCTGCGGTAGCATGGCACCTGAATCAGATCCGATTTCATGGAAAGGGGCGATGAGAAAAACTGTTAAGTTGCAAGGGCGCGTTTTGTATCTTTGTCTTGAACTCCCCCAAACATGCCGGACGACCGTTCCCGATCATACCTCTCGCACCCGTCCAGGCACATTCGACATGACGCTGGTGCAGGTGACGGTGGCCTGGTTGGCAGTAAACATCGGGCTCACACTGTGGATCAAGCCGACCCTGTTCCATAACGCAGAATTCTGGGTGCTACAGGTGCGTTGTCCTTGGTGTGATGGTTAGGATTGGTAGCGTTGACCGATCATGTACGCCGTGCGGATTCTGATTGAGTAGATTTTCACACCTAGATTTTCACACCTCCTTCGTATGTACCTCCTTGCTCCTTGCTCGGTGAAAGCTATTGTGCCGCTAGGGCTTCAGGGAAGCTTCGGGGGCAAATGTTCTATGTACACCTTTGTCATTTGTGTGGTGGTGGGAGTAGCGTAGTGCGAAGGTGTACATACCGATTCTGGTAAAACGTCAATCGACGGATACCCTGGGAATCGGGTCCTCCGTAGATACCAGTAGCAGAAACCCTACATACACACATGTCGATTGGTTTGCAAACAGGCGTATTGTTTCTGTTTTTCTTTCCCCCCCCACCGGGTGACCCCGGCTGGTGCGTCAAACATATCAACACACCGAGGAGACCAAGACTGGTCGCCAGAAGAGATGGGATGAAACCACCCCAACCGAGACCCACACCGCCGTACGTTCATTTGGCTCCACTACGCTAATAGTGCTGTCCGTTTCTGCTTTGATAAAATGGGTTGGCCGTTTGTAGGTTGACCAGATGTCCATCGCACCTACGTTCATGGCATGAACACTAATCGTGGCTCGGTTGCGCTCTTTGCTTGATTGTGCTCTGATTCGCACCGCCACCAACTCCGCCGCCTTGCTTGTGACCATCTTGCAGGTCCCCAAGCTAGCCTTCATGATAGTGGTGTCTATTTTGGCCGGCTCCCTGTGCCGGCACTTCTGCCCCGCGGACGATACGGGGTATATCATGACATCCAAGAACTCGTGGTTCAAGGCGAGAACTATGCTGTGTTCGCCGTAGGTTGCGTAAGCTCCGCACCCCCTTGGACCCATTTCTACAGCTGGGTTATAGACTACTCGGCAGCAATAACAGCAGTGACGGTGCCGAAAATGGCGGCGTTTCGACCGTCTCGTCAAGAAATTTCCCGGAAAATTCGGGCATCCTAATGTAATCGAGGTAGTTGCAAGCCCTTGGATTGGTGTTGTAGTAGTCTACAATAGGCGTTTAAGGACACACCTCACCTCTCGGTGTGTGTGCGTACCGTTCCGGTCTCTACTGTCACTACCGCGAAACATCCGTACCGGTCCGCATCTGGATAAGGTTGGTGCTACATGAAGGAGACAACATTGTACGTTTATCGATCTCTTTGCGGGGTACATAAATGGAAGGGGAGCTCCGTTATGTCGGTCGGTCGGAACGGCCTAAATCGCGCCGACAACGAAGGCATCCGCATCAGAGTGACCAGTAGACTGTCACGGAGGACTCTGTAGAGGTCTCAACGGTCCAGGTCAATGGACAAACAACGGCTCTTTGGAGACTCTTTCCCTGTTTCGTTCCCGCGCTCGATCTTCTCCTTCATTCGTCGTTTTGCTCTTGTCACTCTCTCAGCGTCTTGTCTTTCAGGTGAACATCACCCGAAAGATGCAGCATTTCGCCGCCTACCTGGTACAAGTACCCCTGCTCTTCCGGCCTCTGCTTCACTTCTCACTCTTTCCGCGTCTTTGTAATTTTCATTTTGTCGTTGTGTTTGTTGGTTCCAGGTGAACTACACCCGAAAAGTGCAGCATTTCGCCGCGTACCTGGTACCCCTGCTCTTCTCGCCCTCTCCTGACTGCAACTGCAC